TCTCTTTCTCTCATAAATAAATAAATAAATAAATACATAAATAAATAAATAAAATCTTTAAAAAAAAAGAGAGAAAATATTATTATCACCATTTTATAAATCAGGAATCTGAGGTGAGGTTTCAAAAACTTAAGTACTTTGCCCGAGTCCACAGAATTATTAAGTGGTAGATCTGGGTTTCAGATGCAAGCCTGAATGATTCCATTATCCATCTTCTTGGTTTCAATTATACTTTTGCCATTTGGTTTTCTACAAGACACTTGGTGGATTTTCCCAAATTACCTTTAAATTCTACCTTTGCCAAAGTAGAATATCTTGTGACTCCCCAGTTGAGTGTTGGAATCACCGTAAGTTTATAAAAACTGCAAAGTATTTCCTAAATACTTGTTCTGCCTATAGGATGAAATACACAGAAATGGCAAAGACGATTCCAAACAGCCTTATCTCAAAGTATGCTGTGTAACTCCCTGTTGCCTCCCCCCACTACTCATCAGCCTTTGTCTACAAGTTTGCCATTATTTGGATGATAGTAGATGCTACAGTTCTGGATGTGGCTAACTGGGGGGCATCATTGGTTCCTGAGTTCCTACCCATATGGCATAAGGGCAACTAAGAGCCCAAGGTCGTGATAACTCAAGCAATCTCCATGGCTTGTTTGAAAAGAGAGGATATTTCCTTACAGATGGCCTTACCTTTGTATATGTTCCATATTGGTTCTCTTTAGAAGGTTCTGTGGCTAATTTATGCAAGACATATGCTTTCTCCTTTTGCTTTGATAAAAGATATTTGAAACACCAGATCCAATCACATAGCCTCTTTGCTACTGCTAACTTAGATGTGTCTATTTTAAGTCTCTTCTCTGTCCACATAATAGTACTCTACAAATCACCTAATCGGGGTGCGCTATGATAATCAGGCTGTTCCCAATTAGAAATGTGCCTAATGCACCATTTTCCCAATACATTTTAGACAAAGAACTGGGAAGGGGAGGCAATGTTTTTAGTGATTCCAGTCTATCCATTGGAACAAGAGGTTTCTGAGGTCTTCCCAATGTGAAAAACAACATCAAAATAATAGCATTTGTTTATTTAATTGCATACAATACCATGGTCAGGAACTTGTTATTTCACCGGAGAAATTATTTGCAATACATTACTGAAGAGATGACTTAATTCACGCTGATCATTTCCTCTAGTCTACCATGGGGAGGATGATACTTTCATGTATCATAAGCACCAGACAAAGCAGCTGGATACATTTTCTCTCTCTTGAAATTCTAGTCTCTGTTGGAATGACTCCCTTAGGCATCCACAGCTCTAGGTTCTTCCTGACTAAGAAATGAAGCAAGTACACCCAGGGCTGTTCACATTAGGGAGCAAAATCTAAAGAAGTATTCCTGCCTTTTAGATGTCAGAGATCAACATAGAGGTGTTTCTCACTTTGAGGCAGAAGATACAGCTTCTTTGTGGTCTGAGTGTCAAACTTGTTGAAAGACGGACATTGTCGAGACTTAACATTAATTAATAATGTATATTCACACAAACCTGGATCAAATGATATTCTACATGGAGGCAGGAGAGAAGGGGTTGGAATGAATACATGAACCCTTGGAAGTTGTTTTCGGCTGAGGATTTTTGAGTAGCCACTGGAAATCAAAGGAAGTACCAAGGATAGTAGGAGTTGAGAAGAACAGAAGGGCAGGATACAGTCTCTTTTTTCTTCCACCTCACACTGTGCTTAGGCAAAGCCCAGTCTATGTGAGAGCTGCTGAATGAATGAATGAACGTTTGATTCCAAACACTTTCTTACCTGGTAGCTTCAAATTGTGGTGAATTCGTTGCGTTCCATCTGGGTGTTATAGGAAGCCAGGAAAGACCTTTCTATTAGATCTTGGAAACTGAGAGTGTGCTTTGTACTTCCTGGATAGGACAAGCTTCTGGCCTTTCCATTTATCCAGAGGCAGAATGGACCCTCTTGCCTGCAACTGGTACATTGTTGCCAATTTCAACAAAGAGCCTATACTGCCTGAGGAAACAGTGTTTCCTCTTAACAAGGTACAATATTGGCTCCTCTGCCATGAGAGGGCTGTTCTTGGAAATGTACTCCAGAGACTTTCCCATTTAACCACGATACAGACTGCCTTGCTACATAATTCCCCCTGCTGAGGCCCTATGAAAGGAATGAGTTGGGACAGATACAGCAAGATATTAGGACAAATTCTTCTTCCTTCTTCCTTGCTGTACTACACAAAAGTGAACTTGATTTCAACAAGATGACCCAATTCTTAACATGCTTTTCTACCCGCTTTCACCCATAACGCTTCCAAATCACTGTCTGATTAAAGATGTGCAGAGAAACAAAATGGGAAAAAAGATAAACTGGCCAGTAAAAAGTAAAATGGCATTTAATTAAAATTAAGTTTGCAAGTTAATGGGGGGAAAAGGGTATTTTGTTAAAAAAAAAACAAAAAAAAACCTATGGTTATTAAACCTCAGGGCAGCATAGCACATCACTATCCTTTTGTGGTTTTGAGTGTCTTTTATTTGTGCACTGGAAGTAGGTATTTGTCATATTGTTAATAATTGCTCTACTAAATTGTACTCAACAGTGTGCATCTCTGTAACCTTGTTTACTCACAAAGCTTTCATTTTATTCCTGTACTTTTCTTTAGCTTGTTTCTTAGGGGTTGTTTCTTTCACATAAGCTTTCGATTTTTAAATAATACAATCCGTTTATTTCACTAGGCATCTTTATTTGCTTAAAGTGGGGGAAGAATCAGATTGTGATTGTGGTTTAAATCAGTCAATCTTTTTCTTCCCTTTACAGGAAAAGCTGTGGGTAATAGAAAAGAGAACTGAATGAAATAGAAATTCAACTAGGCTTTTATGAACTCAGTTATTAGAGTAAGAAGAGCTAAATTCATGGAGTGGGGGGAAGAGAGGAAAACGCAAATGGTGTTTTTTTAGAGCTTTTACTTTAAGCCACTCTAGTATCCCCCTTCTCTTCCTTCCACTATCCTGGCCCCACCGAGGCATAGTCAGAATCCAGGGCTCCGGAGCATGTCAGAAGGGGAAGGAGAGCAAGAGTGAGGCTCTGGGTTAGCCTTCTCCGGTCATCCCGAGAGGTCCAAGCAGAAAGGCTGCCTAGAGAATATCCCTATGACCTCTCTAAAACTGCATTAGGGAAATGTCTAAATTGTATCAGTCATCCTGATACTTGATCAGTAAAGAATTTTCTGCATTTAAAATACTTAATCTTAAGAAAAAAATAAAATAAAATACTTAATCTTGTTGGGATCTTTTGAGGTAGGAAAATCTGATGAGAAATAAACATTCTCTATATTCCTATGCCTTGGGTATGCTCCTGGAAACATTGGAGGGATTGTTTGCCAAAAAGTCTTGGCAGTTTTCAAAGATGGCTGGCCAAGTCATAAGAGAATGAGGAGAAGAGGTTTATGTAGTACTGAGTCCAGCATTGTGTGTAAAACACAGGTTTCAATGTAAAGAAATCTGTTGCACAAAAACCTTGGAAAACATATCATCCTCTCTTTTCTTTACTACCCCCCACACAAGTACCCTCTTCCTCAAAAAAATTTTTTTAGAAAATAAAAAATAGAAGAGAATCAACATGATCCTAAGGAAGCAAATCTCTTTGTTTTAATTTTCTTTTCCTTTTGCTTTTACATTTAAGAGTTAAGACAACATTTCAGCAGAGAAATGTGGAGAAGGGTAAAGGGAAATCAATAAAGTTATTCTCTGACTTTTCCCAGGAGGGAGCTGTGTTAATCGAGAATGGCCTGCTTGGCTATATATCAAGTACGAGGAGAGGGCAGGAGTTGATTCTGAAGCAGATTTCCCAGCTAAACTGAAGGAAGTATATATAAATATACACATACGTACATACAAACATATGTAATTTTTACAAGAGTGGTATGTGTCTGCGGGTACACTATTATATACATTCTAACGTATATGAAAAGTGTATATTACACACACACACATTTAAAAAGTAGGTAAGAACAATTGCTTTAGGTCATTAGTGATATTGGATAAAAATTCCTCTACCAGTGGTTTCTGTATATTGATCTAGGATCACTTTACACTTTATAAGTTTCTTTAATAAGTCTTTTGACTCCCAAAGAAGGAACTTGATGTACAAAAACTTAAAGTGACAGATGAAGGGATGGAAATCAGATTTCCTGACCCAAGGCCAGTGGAAGTGTCTTTGACCATGCGGAAGCTTCTAAGGAGTCTCTCTGGGTAATTTGTGTGGTCACTTTCTCTAGTGACAGCAGAAATTTCTAGCAGGTGTGATATCAGTAGAGCTTTTGAAAGCCAAGTTGGCCAAGGTGCTACCCAATTCCACTGGGTCATAGTACCACATCCATGTTCACTGGAAGCGGTGGTGGTCTCTTACTGGACAGATTTGGACAACATAATTGGGTGGGAGGTAGGATACCTGAGTGTCAGTCCTGATGTCATCTTCACAGTGTGATCTTGAGAGAGTTACCTATCCTTTCTGGACGTCAATTTCCTTTTGTATGGAATGGGATGAATAATTCTTGCTCCTTCCAAACAACTTCCTTATTGCCCAGGAATCTTGTCCAAATTTCTTTGTTCCACTCAATGCTCAGATTTTGGAAACCACCTAAGGGGGATCTCCTTTCCATGACCCAATCTACTGGGATTAATTCTACCATTCTGAAGCCCTTCACATTTTTCTTCTCTCAGTTTGGATGTTCAAATTCTAAATTGTTTTTAACATCAGCCAAGATGCTCTATTTATTTTCGTTCTTTCTTTTTAAAAGATATAATTTATTTAAGGTGGGGGGAAGAGAGACAGCATGAGTAGGAGGAGGTACAGAGGGAGAGGGGGAGAGAGAATCTCAAGCAGACTGCCCACTGAGCATGGAGCCGAACGTGGGGCTCAATCTCACCACCCAGAGATCATGACCTGAGCCAAAATCAAGAGTCGGATGCTTAACCGACTGAGCCACACAAGCACCCCTCTATTTATTTTCTAAATCTAAACTCCATATGTATCATAACTGTTGAAAGAGAATGGAATCTAGACAGAGAGAGGGACTATGCAGTCTAGAATGTCCCTGGAGGAAATTTCAGAGTGCATCTAGTCTAATCCTATCATTTTACAGTTGAAGAAGCTAATGATCTGAGAGGTAAAATGTATTGTCCAAGGTTACTGTGACAGAATCAAGTGGAGAACCCATGTCTCTTTAACTTTCAGTTCTATAGTCTTTCCATTGGTTCATGTGTCTTGAGACCACTATAATTAGAAATAGTCCCTGAGGGGCACCTGAAAGAAAGAAAGAAGGAAGGAAGGAAGGAAGGAAGGAAGGAAGGAAGGAAGGAAGGAAAGAATGAAGAAAGGAAGAAAGGAAAGAAAGAAAGAAAAGAAAGAAAGAAAGAAAGGAAAGAAAGAAAAGAAAGAAAGAAAAAAGAAAGAGAAGGAAAGAAAGAAAGAAAGAGAAGAAAGAAAGAAGAAAAGAAAGAATGAGTACCTGAAGTTCAAGTAAGCAGACCAGATAAAGACATGTCAAACTTTGGTTTTCCCCAGGGCAAGATTCTAATTCTTTTTGCGTAACCTGACCAGCATGGCTTTAGCATCCTCACGAAGGGTGGAGGCTTCCCAGTTGCCAGAGCTTCTTCTTTTTGTCCCTTTCTGTCCCATAAGACCCAGCTTGGAATCTGGATCTAATTGAATTCCTATATTTCCATGTCTATTTTGGACATGGTTGCATTTACACCACATCTCATAGCTCTTAAATTCTATCTTTAAGTTGCCTTTACACATCTTTTGGTCAACACTTACTGGGAGTTTACTGTGTGCCAGTCATGTGCAGTGGGCTGGAGACACAGAGCCGGACCTCACAGTGTCACATGTCCTGTGTGAGATATGCTCACATCGGATATGCTGGGGGCACTGAGGAAGGAGACTCTGGGATCATCCAAAGAAGTCCAAGAAGACAGCAGACCCAGTGATAATTGCCTTTACTCTCTCATCCCCTACCTTATGAGGGCAGAGAAGTTCATTTTAGATGATGGTATTTTCCAGGGTTCTCTCTGCCTTGTTTTCAACAAAAGAGAAGTCATATGTAGGATTTTTCCTTTACCTTCATGTCCACCCCAGGCTTAGATATTCTCACCATGAATTTTCTGAACAAAGCCGATTTCCTGATACTTCAGTCAATTCTTACTGGGCTGCAGAAAGCCGGTCCTGGGGGCCCAGAGATACATGCATATGTAGATTCGTTGGGGGGAAGATATTGTTTCCCCCCATCATTTCCTCCCCTACTTTAATTTTTCAATCAATTTTCTTTGTTTCCTTTGTTTTTAAAAAGGCATTGACAAGTTGACACCTAGGTGTTTCCTAGAAACACCCAAAGCTCTGTTCACATTTCCACTAGCCAGATTTTGTTTGTTTTGTTTTCAAAGTTCTTCTCCTCCTTCCTCACCTTAGAATTTTTCTCACTTTTCCATCAAATTTAAGACACGGATTTTGAATAATTAAACTCATGGCAGAAGAGGAAAATCATCAATTAAATATTGCTTGCCTCTATATAATCCGTCGATTGGTCTGTATTACATAACACTGTGACCCTAGATTATATTAAACTCCCAGAAGAGTACAGACGGCACAACAATTTGTAAAGCACCTATTATGTGGCAGGCTCAGTGCTAACCAGAGTAAGATCAAAATCAGTGTGTCTCCATGCAGTGCATGATAAATATCTGCAGAGCTAAGAGACCCAGGGGCCCATAAATTCAACAGTTTTCTAGACTTGGGCTAGGTAGTCAAAATATCACAGTGAATCTTGGAAGACTTAAGAATGCCAGAAAATTCACTTAACCTCCCCTCATTTGGGAATGCAGTTTGGTCGCCAACAACAGTTGGTTTGCTCTGTACCTGCCTAGATCGGAGTGTGCAGTCTAACATTCCTGAAGGGCAAAGCATGAGACCCCAGAAGGCTGGCCTCGCTTGCTCCAAAGGAGTTCCCTGTGGTCTTCATGTCATTGCTATTTGAGGCCTGGAGAGACTCTTTGATGAGTGTCAAACGTGCCATGCTTAAAATCTCTGAGGTAGCAGTTTCCACCTTTAAAATATTCCTCAGTGTCTCCCCAGAGTGTTCCCTATTCATCCCCTATTC